TAATATATTAAAATTAATTATACATGAACAATTATATTTAATATATTTATTTTATAAATACAATCTTACATAAAATATTACATAACACATATAATTTAATAAATATTGACAAAAATAAATGAAATTAAATACATAAATATACCTCAATTTCATGTAATTCATAAAAACACTTGAAATATATAAAAAAATTTAATTAGTAATATATATATATATATGAGAGTTAATATAAAGAATAATATAAATAAAATCGAAAATTACACTACTAATAAATTGAAATGAATAGTCTTATTTCAAGTAACATATTAAAGGAAGAGGAATGGAAAGAGTAAAAGAAAAGCAAAAAGGAAAGTAGAAGAAATGAAGAAGAAATGGAAAAGGAGAAGAACGAGGAAATGGAGAGAAGAGGAAAGGGATGATTAAGATGAGAAAGTGAAATATATGAGTGGGGTAAAGGAAGAGAGGAGAAAAAAGAAAGGGAATTCGGATAAAGGATGAGAAAAATGAAAGAGAAGAATGAAGAAGATGGGAGAAAATGCTAAGGGAAGGTTTATATAGATAAGTATTATTTTCCAGTGCAATGTGTTGGAAAATAATGTGGGTGAGATTTTGAAAATTTTATAAGGAAAAAATGGCGCTTAAACGTTGGATTTTAAATTTTAGATAAACTCATTATTGCGATGGAAAATAATATGGGCGAAATTTTGAAAATTTTACAAGGAAGAAATGGCGTTTGAATGTTGAACTTTAAATTTCAGATAAACTTATTTTCCAACACATTACACTGGAAAATAACCTGACCAAATTCACAGACCTATTTTTCAGCGCACTACACTGAAAAATAATCTAAACCAAATGGGCACTACTATTTTTCAACACATTGTGGTGGAAAATAATCTGAACCAATCTAAACCAAATGGATACTACTATTTTCCAACGCACTGCATTGGAAAATAATCTGTAACAAATGGGCACTACTATTTTCCAGTGCACTACGGTGGAAAATAGCCTGAACCAATCTAAACCAAATGGATACAACTATTTTCCAACGCACTGCACTAGAAAATAATTTGCACCAAATGGACACTACTATTTTCCAACGCAATGCACTGGAAAATAAGCTAAACCAAATACACAGGTGTATTTTCCAACGCAAGGCGCTAGAAAATAAACTGCACCTATTTCTACCATTTAACTTTGACGATTCTAAACATTTTTCAGTGCGTTGTGCTGGAAAAAAATGTGAAAAATATTTTTTTGACTTTTGAAAAATTTTCTTGTCAGCAGTAATACTAAAAACATTATTTTCCAGCGTAGTGCGCTGGAAAATAAGAAGGCACCAAACGAAATTATGGCGCTAAATTATTTTCCAGCACAGTGCGCTGAAAAATTAGTTTTACTTGAAAATTATTTATGAATATTAGATATTTTATTCAAATTTTTAATTTCTAGCGCTTGGCGTTGGAAAATAATATACTATTTTCTAGCATAAATTGCACTGGAAAATGGTTGAAAAAAGAAAAATTTTTAGTAGTGCAAGGAAGTAATCAAATCCAAGGACTGAGATCGAATGGCTTTTGCAATTTGTTTGGCCATCTTGATATCAATCAATTCAACAGAAGGAGTCACAGAAGATGAAAAATGCTTGCATTTTGCTTTTGATGATGAGAAGAATTGAAGAAAGGGAATTTTTGGGTGCAATGATAGTGTTGGGATTTTGTTTTTTATGGGTATTTGTAATTATCATCGGTCCTATGTTATTTGAGCTTGTAAATTTGAAATTTGGTTTGAAATAAAATTAAAAATTGGGATTGCGTAAACAATTTAAGTATTTTAGTGGTAATCTCTTTTTATTAAAAATAAAAACCCTCAATTGAAATAGTTGTCACGCCCCAGAACCCAAATCCGGGGACGTGGCAGACGCCGTACACTCGTGAGAGGGTCTCACAAATGCAGAAGGCTCGGAACTTATCAAATTCACAATTTGATACCATCAAAATCTGAAGATCAAATTTTATAATTCACTCTAATATCATAAATCTCCAAATACACTCTAGCTTACAAGATTATGATTTATCTCTAAAATTTCATATCCAATTACAATGGCTAGTCTTCTAACTCGTCACTTCCTGTGATTTTCCCGTCCTCGGTTTCGGTTCCTGAAATGGTGGACAAGAAAAAACTATGAGATAAACTCGTAAGTAAAATATGGAGTGCCCTTATTAAACTTATAGCATGCCAACAAGTACAGTCACGAAAAACGGATACAATACGGGAATGAAATAGACGTCTCCTCTATAGGTCACGGCCAGTGTCATAAACCTCTCACTAGCAGGCTACAGAAATTACTAGTGTATAACCCCCACTAGCAGGGTTACAGAAACGAACCAGTTCTATTAATAACATATCGACATGTGCCGACATGTGCTAGCGTTTAACCCCCACTAGTAGGATTACAGAAACATGACCACATCGGAGACAAAACAGGCTGAAGTTAACAGAAAAACATAATTCACCAATCACTTTCAGATCATCAGGACAATCAATTAAATTCCAAGTAGGCATGCTCAATTTAATGAAAAGCATAAAATTTCACTTCAAATCAGTCATACTTGTGTAAAACGGGTTTAGTCCCACCATCACTTCAAAAACAAATCAAAACATGCTTTTAAAAACAGTACGGGCATTACCATAAATTTACTTACCTCACTCACATAAAACCAAACTCTCAATTCACGTACTAAAGCACCCCAAGGATCAAGAACCTAATCAAATATTCAAGAATTAATTCCGTACTATCACAAATTCACACTGAAATTATCATTAAAACTACCATTAATCACGATACTATTTCTATCAATCTCTACATAATCAAATATCTCCAAATTAGTTCTTCTATCACAAACTAATCATTTAAATCCCCGTTAATTGTTGACCCTCGGTGTGTGACCAGTGATCTGTGAACAGTACCGTGAACAGTACTGCACTATCCAAAATTGGCAAAACACTAGCTAATTCACGGGATTTTCTCCAAAAATCACACGGCAATCAATTAACACTCAATCACATAAATCCCACTTCAATTAAGCTATATCATGGTCCTAAAGCTATCAAATTCTTCCCCATTTTTCTAGCAAAATTCGGACATACAATAGGGCAGCAATTGAAAGCAGATAAATGGACAAATTCGGGGGCTTGGAGGGCTGCCACATACCAGAATTCTCCAGCTAAAACCGGAGCTGCAGTTGGGGAAGAGTCGACGGCATGGAAGAAGAAATCCTGCAGGGAACTCACGGGTTTTGCCCCAAAATTAAAGGAACCCAAGAGCAATTAAGGTAGACCCAAGTTAATTCAAGCAAGAACAGAGGGATTGGTAGCTGCTTCTTACCCAAAATCAAAGCAATTCGCCCCCACAAAGCAGGAGCAGCCGGCGGTGAGGAAGGAAGAACAGAGCAGATCCGGATTTTCCAGCAGGGGGGAGAATTTCTGGGTTCCAATTTCAGTCCTAGAACAAGAAAAGAAGGCCAAAACCAAGCTTATCTCACCGGTTTCTCAAAGGCTGGTGCCGGGTTCCCCTTTCTTTTTTTCTTTCGGGCGCAGCAGGGTCGGGAAGAGCAGAAGCACGCGGGGAAGAAGAAGGAAAGAAGGAAAAAGAAAAGAAAAGAAGTTGATCCTTATCCAAAAATTTCCCTCTTTTAAGTCTCTCAACTTTTGAACTTTTGATTATTAAGCCCAAAACAATATTTCCTCTCATAAAAGTCTTTAACTTAATGTTAAACTATCACAAAATTTTGGGGTATTATAATAGCATTGTATGACATATAAGTGGAATGAGAAGAGAAATAAACCAAGGATTGTTTTCTATTGCGCAAACAAGAAAAAAAAAAAAATGGGATTGTAGATTTTGTACAGCGAAGAGAAATTAGAAAAGGTAGTGCAATGTGTGCTCTCCAATTAACACCGGACTCCAGGTCATAATGAAATTGAAGATGATTTGAATTTAAAATCGATTACAGGAAGATGCCGGTAACTATTGTTCTTATTTTTTGATCTTCAAAAGCCTCATCTCGTCTTTAGCCTCTCACCTTCTGATTTTTTGTATCTTTTTCCTGCCCTCTCACCATTTTCAGTTTTTATGCTCTCCAAGCGTAAAAGCTCACAAGGTCTAAAGGGTTTAATCATCTCCGACTTGAACCGACTGTCCACTTCTTTCTTCTCTTCTTTGATCTCTAGTATCTTTGACTTTCTCCCCTTTTATAATTCTAGTGTGGGCTATTGATCCAATAATAGTTGTTGGTGAGGGAGTTGCGGGTGAGAATGAAAATGAAGAAGAAAATGGGACTAGAGGGAGTAAAAAAGACAAAAGAAGAAAATGGGGAAAAAGAAGACGAGGGGGAAGGAAGAAGTATAAAAAGTAAATATAAAAAATCAGTGCTTGGATTTCAGAAATTACTACCTGGAGTTTGCAGATTATGATTTGGTACCCATGGTTGCTTGGGGGTTTTGGGGAGAAAGGGTAAGAAAGAGTAAAAAGGGTAGGGGAGGAAGACAAAGGGTATCTTTGTCTTTTAGTCAAATTTTATTAATTTAACTGAATAAAATTAATAAAAGAAAAAGGGTGATTGGTTGATGTTGAAATATATATATATATATATATACACCTATGTAGCAAATATTTAATTATATAAGTTTTACATTATATTTTATATAAAATTTTAATTATTTTTTTTAATAATTGAAATTTATTTATATTTATTAAAAATAATTATTTTTATTTAAAAAATTATACTAAATTTTAATTGTTAAAAATGAATATAAATTTTATATAAATACAAGAGAAAATACATATTAATTCTAACTTTCAAAATAAATTAAAATCTTAATTGGAAATTATATTTTTTTATTTTATAAAATTTAATTTATAATATAAAAATTCATCTTATTAAATATTAATATATTTAATATATTAAAATTTTTAATTGTTAAAAATGAATATAAATTTTATATA